CATGCCTCGCGGAAATGGACAGGTCGAGCGGTATAACAAAACAGTTATCGACTCTCTCGCAACTATGGGGGCAAATAAAGCTAATAAGAAATGGGACGAAAATGTTACTAATATTCAGTTAGGTTTAAACGGAACCCTAAATCAGGCCATTGTCGTCTCGCCAAGCGAGGCATTAATGGGGTATAGAGTTATTTCACAGGGACAGCTGGAGACAGACGGAACGAGCGTCGTAGATGTGACAGAAATTCGTGCACGAATGGAGGGGCATATGAATCGTTACCAGGCGGACCAAAATCAGCGGTTTGATCAGAAACGGAAAAGGTCTCAGCCGTATTTTGAAGGGGACCTTGTGCTGATTCGAATCACAAGTACACCAACTACAGGAGGCAGTCACAAGTTAGAACAAAAGTGGCGAGGTCCTTTCCGAATTACGAGGGTAATGGGAAATGACAGATACGAAGTATCCGACATTCCAGGTAGTAGTCGCTCTCAGTTGAGGTATCACGGTGTGGCTGGTGTGGACATCATCAGACCATGGATCCGGTATGACTAGGAGAGTCATGTGGTGCCTAGGGCGAAGGTAAGGGTCAGGGGTATGTTGTGAATATCTTACTATGGCTTTTGGCGGTAACACAACTTTGTGGTCAAATTAATGGTAGTGTCGTGCTATTTTGGCGGTAACACAATTTTGTGGTCAACTGGTAGTAGTGTTCGCAACATGTGCCTGGGGTCACCGAGGTATACGGGCGCAGGGTATACTGGCGACGTGACCAACTCATTAGTCTTAGTATTTTACTGTCATTTTATGTTATTTACTATACTACTGTTTAAATTTTGGTAAATAAACTGGGCCCAGTTCATTAATTTTGTTAGGTATAGGTAACTGGCTGTTGCAGAGGATATCATATTTGAGTTGCTTTGTTTAAGTTGTCATATTTAGTTAGCTGCATATTGAGCCCCGTCTCAGACTTTTGTGTAAGTTTCAGATTGACGTGCCGTGTCAGTTGAGTGAGGACACTCAGTTTGTCAGGAAAGGCCGTGTTAAGAACAAGGAAGCTTCTTTTAACTGGCGAACGGCTATCGGCATGTGCAATGATGTCACCGAGATTGGGCTGACGAAGCAGTGCGGGCCACGGGGTGTTGAGCTCGCCGAGCCCAGGGATATGGGCTCGGCGAGCCACTATCAAGCCTTTCGTTTGGCAACTACATTATTAATTCATTGTGCATAGCAAAAAGGCATTAAATCTGTTTTATTTAAATCTATTTTTTTAATTAGTGCATATTAAAAACTTAACAAATCATTCCTGCATTCTAACCATTTATTTTTTAACTGAGTTGGAACTGGATCATCCCAATCCAGCTTCAAAGTCCAAAGCTTTTGAATGATAATTTTTAACATAATGACACATGGACTAACAAGACCTAGTGGGTCAAATATTTTTGCCACATTTGAAAGTATAAATCGCTTTGTCACAATATTTTCAAAACTTGCAGAAATATGATACACAAGCACATCTGTTTTTGGTACCCAACGAATGCCCAATGTTTTAAATTGTTCGTTGTCACCAAAAATGATAACACTCATAGGATCAGACTTATTTTCAATTTTTTCTAGAAACCTAGAACTATTTGATGTCCATTTTCGAAGCGGAAAACGTACAGAATTTAATATAAAAATTATTTCTTTACAAATTGTAACAGCTTCTTGTTCAGAATCAAATCCAGTTATTAAGTCATCTACATAAAAATCACGTAGAATAATTTCTGATGCAATAGGAAATTGGTCTTGGAACTCATAAGCGACCTGTTTCAAACACCGTATTGTTAAATAAAGTGCTGACTTCGTGCCATAACTTACTGTATTCAACTCATAAACTGAAACACTTTCATTTGAATTATTTCTCCAAACAATTCGCTGTAAATGCCTATCGTCTGGATGAATAAGGATCTGCCTATACATTTTCTCGATATCTGCAGACATGACAAATGTATGTTGTCTAAATCGTAAAAGAATTGAAAAGATATCATTTTGAATTGAAGGTCCAGCATATTGTAAGTCATTAATAGAAAAACCTGAATTAGATTTTGCAGAACCATCAAACACAACTAGTAGCTTGGTAGTTAAACTCTCTTTACGAAGTACTCCATGATGAGGAAGATAAAATGCGAGTTTGGGCTTATTAAATGGTTTCAATAATGACATATGTCCCAATTTGATATACTCTTGTATGAACTCACTATACATACATTTGAATTCCGAATTGGTTGAAATTTGCCTTAAATACTTTGAAGCCGTTTAATTGCGGTGTTCATGGAATCACCTAAAAGAGGGATAGAAGAATGCAATGGTATTTTAACCACAAATCTACCTTCTTTATTTCTAGAAAAATTGTTTTTAAACTGATTTTCACAATCAGTATCATCAGAAGATTATTATTTGCTTATTGGTTTCTTCGATCTCCCAAAATTTTTGAAGATTAACATTTATGTCATCAAGTCTTGAAAAATTGCAATAAACCTTTTGAGATGGTATCTTAATAGCCCCAGATACAAGCCAACCGAATTATGAATTTTGAAGCACCGGAAGTCCTTTTCTTAAACTTAATTGTTCTGGAATTAAAATATCCCAAAATAGTTCAGCACCAATAAGAAGATGAATTTCTCCCGGATCATTGAATTGCGGATCAGCTAAATTGATATCCTTGGGAATATTCCATGACTCAATGTTTATCTTTGAAATTGGCAAATTTTCGGTGATACTATTTAGCACAAAACAAGAAATAATTGCAGAAAAATTGCTATTCAAGGATTGCACTGAAATGTCACATTTGTGTTTTAAATTGGAGGAAACATTGTTAATACCCATAATTGAAATATTTGTTGAGTATTTATTCAATTTAAGTCGACTGCATAGACTAGAAGAGATAAAACTAGACTGCGAACCAGAATCTAGTATCGCCCTGATCTTATGAAATCTACCTTGATGATCAGCTATAGATATGCACACTGTAGAAAGCAAAACAGAATCATTGTTGATGTTACTAGTTAGTGTAACTTCTGAAACTTGATCTGATGTTTGTGGGGGTGTGTGCTGTTTGTCAAGATGTAATAAAGTACTATGTTTTTGATGGCATTTTTTGCATTTACCTCCTTTGCAGTCATTATATCTATGACCAAAACATAAACAGTTATTACATAGTTTTAAATCTTTTATCCTTTGAATTCTTTCAGGAATTGCAAGATCTAAAAATTGTTCACAATTATAGATCATATGATTTTTCTTGCAAAAGTTGCATTGTATGTTTGATGCTAATAAAGACATTTGTTTTACACCTTTATTTATTGTTTTGGCTTCGATACTTGACAAATACTCGGCCTTAGTATCTATAAATTCCTTTATATGAGATAATTTTGGAGATTCAATATTCATTCGATATTTATCTCATTCTCGGGAAGTAAATTTATCAAATTTAGTGGATATTAAATAAACAATTAATGTGTCCCAATGTTGTGTAGGCTGTTTTAACGTTTCTAGATCTTACAAATGTCTGGACACAGTATCCATCAAATTTCTTAAACCAAATCGAGATTCTTTTGTCAAAGAATCTAACTCGAATAATGCCCTAACATGATTATGAATTAATTGTCTATTATTATTGAAACGTAAACACAGCATTTGCCAAGCTTTATCAAAATTGTCAGGAATAAATTCTAATGAACGAATTACTTGTAATGCCTCACCCTCCAAACATGACCTCAAATAATGGAACCGCTGAACATTACTAACTGTTTTATTTGAAATAACTAGAGACTCAAACGTATGTTTGAACATTAACCAGTCATCAAATTTTCCCTCGAATTTGCCAAGATCCGTTTCAGGTAATTTTAACTCATTATATTGACTAACTGTTTGTGAAACAGTGCCTTGAATAGAACTTACATGAGCGTCATCAGTAACATCTACTGCCTTTACAAATTGATTTTTTGAATATTTTAGCATCTGCTAATATAGAATGGTACTTAGATATAAAATCATCGCGATCTTGATACTGTTTTTCTAAATCAACTTCATCGCAAATTGACTCTATTTCATTTTGAACGTGATCATACTCTGAAAATAATATTTTAAATTTTTCACAACGATCTTGCAATTCAATAATTGTTTTGTCAGGCACATCAGTTACATCAATCGCAGATAACTCTTGAATTGATTTCAAAAATTGCTCAAAATTGGTTGGAGATGGCTTCACAGCACCTCGTTTCCTAATCAGTTTCGTTAAATCGGCTGCCATTTTAATAGATTGTTAATAAATTGTTAATCGTTTATAATAGCTTGTTTAAATTGTCTAATAATTGAATAAAGCAAGTAATGATTTGAAATAGGGATGAAATCGTATGTAATCGTACTGAACTGTCAAAATTGTCAAAAAAATTGAAGATGTTTTGAATTTGTAAGTGAATTCTACACTTTTGTATTATTCAAAACGATTAATAGAAAGACAATATGACAGTAAATCAGTTTGCACCTAACTTGTCAGTTAAAAATACAAAATTATAACTAATTGCTTACTTTAGACCGTTGTAATCGAGACAGAATAGAAAATTGAATTAGTAGTATTTTTGTTGCCTGTCACCTGTGTTCCCCGTCGCCTGTCAATTGGCCTCTTGTATGTTCAAATCAGGAAACAAGAAATCCACCGAAGATGGACCAATGTTATTCGATAGAGTGGACTGTATAAACTCTTGTGCTGATTTGAATAATTTTCTTTATTTCCTGAAGGTTGTACAACTACACAAATAGATTAATAGTATTTAGAACATGTCATAATTTTTAATTTATTTTTCAACAACAACTTTTTTTGTTTTTTTGTTGCTCTGCAACCGTCTCCTATACAAACTTAGATTATATAAAATGTATTAACATACAAAATACTTTACCAATATGTAAATATGTCATAACTCCCTCACCAAATTGAAACGCAAAATGTTTTTAGGAAGTTAGTGCCGACAAGTTTAATTATAGACATGACCACATTAGACATAGTATTTGTGTTCCTCTTACATGTTCAAATATACCTTATCAAAACGAACCGGAATTACGAGAAGGCATAACTAACTGTTACAATGGAAAGTTTTATCAGTATGGACTAAAGGGAACTATTACAAGAATAACATGTGAGACAAATGAAGCTCAGTACCCTATAGACATTATTGATGTAATTGTTGGGTAAGTAAACACAATTTATATTTACGGTAAATATTATAGTGACTGGTTGGTCGACATACTTATTCCTTTAGGGGGTATGTTAGACAGAGGATCTTTTAAAAGAAGACAAAAATTAAAATAGGCATCTTAGAAATTATTTCGTTTTGATTAATGTATCTTATAGTTAAGCGAGAAGCTATATTAGTCACTCTGTATAAAGCAGGTGAGACGCACTGAGGAAATACGTGAAATCAAAATCAAAGATTTCTTGGGTTTTATGAATTTACAACTGCACAATCTTTAATAAAGCGCTATAATGGAGAATAACACATCGCTATGAATAAGTACTGTAAAATTACTAATTTTTTTTTCGTTTTAGTAAGTTTTCTATTATGGGAATCAGCAATTTTGAAAATTGTTTTTTAAAAAAACTTCCACAGATGTATACTAATTAGTGCTAAAATGTGAAATCATTCTCATCAGATTTGTTTTAAAATATTTAGATCTTAAATGTACCTAAATATTGTATGAAACAAATGAATATCACAAAGCTGTGAAAATACACCTCTATTATTTTTTAATGAAGTAGGTACTCTATATACTTTCACATAGTGAACATTTGAAATACTTATTTTGTCTGACAATTAGGAGCTAATGCTTCCCGTAAGTCATATTTCCATCAAAATGGGGGATAGTATCCATCAAACATTATATCTCTAAAAATATCCAGGGTGTTTCACTTAAAGAAGAAACTGCAATTGCTTTTGTTTATGATTTAGTAAACTATAGAATCGCCTGCCCTGCTTTATTGGAAAAATTAAATTTATTTGTTCCATGGATAGAAATTCGGCATAGTTTTACCTTTTATTGTGATCTTGCAAATACTAATGTAATGAGAAAATCACCTATTTTTAATGCATGCACTCTTTTTATTTCTATATCATTTTTGTGTGACCTCCATTTTGATAGTTTAGTCTAAATAATTCGTGTGTACGAAGAAAAACTTAATGTAAAATAGTTGTAAATACTCGTACATATCTTGAAAACATCTTACAACGCAGTAACTACTTTATATTTATAATTTGTTTAGCTTTTACTGTAATTAGGTGTAACCTGTAGGAAAATAAAAATACGTCAAAGATATACTAAAAATCAATTTTTCTATATTTTGAATACTTTCCATCAACATAAATTTAATAATATTATGACATTTTATCCACAAAATGATGAGTGGTGGTGATGGTAGGTAAACTAAACAGGATACATCTCCCTCATACTGTTGTAAACTCACATTTGTTCTTTGTGTCCTACTTTTTAGCTGTGCTTGCTAGACCTACTGTAGGTATTTGTCACCAAATCTCATTTCTAATTCTAAGTGTACTAAGTCATCATAATTATTGTGTCTTCTTTCTCCTAACGTTTGTATAACTTTTATGGCCTCACCTCATGATACTACAGAGCCTTCATAAATGTTTACGAGCCACGTGATTAGTAATTTTGTTTGGAACAGTATTTCCTTCATGTTGGCCTTTAAATTTCGGTAAAATTAAAAATTATTAAAATAGTAAGATCAAGGTTACGTTAAAACACAACGTTCTGTTCCACCGGCTGATTGTTGTAATTTTTCACGAGATACTATTCAACCAATCAGCGATCGCATTAATTCGAGCGTAGCGTCATTGGTCATTGTAAATGAGTCATTAATATTGGTGATGCCAAAATTTAGGGAATTTTCGTTACCAGTACTAATCGTGCAATGTTGGGTTGCCTAAGCTAGGAGGTTACGTGGCTTGTAAACATTCATGAAGGCTGCAGCATCAAACTGTTTACGAAGAAGATTTACCATGGTGATACTGTTCAATTTTGACAGTTCCTATCTTGGAGTGACGCCTTGCTTCAATATTTTCAAATTCTTGTACTTATATTTTTACATGCAAATTTATTCATGAATTAATTCATGATGTCACTTCGTAAGGAAATTAGACAAGTGTAATGCACCAAATCTACTATCAAATAACTTTGAATTTTTTCTAAAATGTTCTAATTTTCGTATATTCCTTCATGAAGTTCAGAAGTACCAACAAAAATATTGAGGTTAAGTTCCAATTTTTCTTTCTCCAAAAACCTTATTCAGACTATTACGAACATTTAAAAATATTTTGCAAATCGGTCCAACCGTTTGTAAGTGATGCGTTTACCAACGAACAGCATTTAATTTTTATTGATGTAGATGAAGATGATGAAGTTGGTAGTAGGTGTTTTTGTTTCAAAGAAATTTACGAAGTATAAAACAATGTAAAACCTGTTTGATGAAAAAATTGATGAATTAATTCATGAAAAACTTTGTGAATTAATTGGTGAATAAATTCGCAATATAAAACAGTTATAAAACGCTCAAGAAAATTTCAAATACATATCTCAAAATCCGTAACTTTAACATTAACAATGTCTATACTGACTGAATTTTGCACAACAAAAATACAGGGGTTAGATCTGAAACAAATAGCACCCTCTATACCTTTGTCCTTATATTTCAAGATCTGTGACAAACATTTAGGTGTAGGTATGTTACAATAATCTTTATTGTATCGGTCAAAAAATAAAATTTACATTCGTGATTTGTGAGTATCATTTATTCCTATTTAATATATTTAATAATGCAAATAAATTATAAAAAAATAATTACGATAAGAAATTGTTTAGTTTTTATGATATTTTAAATACTAGAATTAAGTTTATTAACATTAGAGACATTAAATTATATTTTAGGGCATTATTTATTTGTTATATGGCTCTGGTAATATTTGGATCTGTTTATGAAGGAATGGCTAGATATAAGGATAAGTCCGAATATCAGAGAATAATTAGTACTTACTGGGGAAGAGTGATAGCCGCCTTTTCAATACTAAGAAATTGGGAAAGATTTGTAATGGTTAAAACATCTCGAGAAGTTGAAAAGTTACGATGCTTGCAAGGAGTTAGGTTCTACAATACGATATTGGTCATATTCTGCCATACTTCCCTAAGTTTTTTAATGGGACCAGTAGCGAACACTAAATACACAGAAACTGTAAGTGTAAAACATATATTTTTTAAATATATTTCATACATTTTAAGTGGGAATAAAAAAAATACTTAATTAAATAAATAAATCCTAGAATTATATACAGGGAATTTCGCATAAGAACCGACACAGAGCAAGGGCATGTAGGGGAACACAAAATATGGTGATTTAGCGCAACTTCCCTTTATACTAAGCTGAGACGATGAAGCTAAGCTTTATACCCCTGAGACGTTATAGGCCTTGAAAGTGGGGTTTCAAATTTCGAAAAAAATCAATATCTCAGTTATAATTGAACTTAGAAAAACCAAACTTGGTACATGATCGGTGATGATGTGTGCCGGGCTCGGTGACCACCCCAGAAAAATAGATCTAACATCATTTATTATTCTTGTTATATCGATAAGTCGGTGACGGTGCGGCCTTTTTTTAGAATTAAATTAAAACGTGTCCAAATTTGATATCGGTAAGTCGCTGATGCGAGCGAGAGCTTTTTTTTAAGGTTTCAATGGAGCTTGGAGCCCTGGGCCCATCTCGAGGAAAAATTGTAGCTACGCCTATGGGGATGATGCATCATTAAAATTCGATAGAATTTTTAAACCCGTTGGCGGATTTACAAAATTATTACTTTATTTTCTGGAATTTAATTCTAAAACTTTTCTTATTTTTCTCAAGATTGTTTCTAATAAATGTGCATTTATCCGCAATGCGTTTCCACAATTTTGCTAGAGATACAACTGGCGGGGAATACTCAAATTCTTTTAAAGTTCCCCAAAGGAAGAAGTCACATTTGTTGACGTCTGGTGATCGTGGAGGCCAAACTTGTGGGCAATTATTTCCTCTTTCAATCCATTTATTTGGATACTGGTGGTTTAAACAATATTACTAAAATGTGGGGGTGCTCCATCATGTATAATCCAATGTTCCAGTCTGAGTTGTAGTGGCACCTCGTCAAGTAGATCCAGGAGTGTTGTGGAGAAATTTTGAATAAGTTTCGCCATTTAGTCGATTCGGTAAAATAACTGGGCCAATTAAATACCGAACAATAACACCGATCCAAACTCGCGTAGGAAATGTCGAGGAGATTCTGCATGAGGATTTACATCGGAGTACTCATGACAGTTACGTAAATTTGTAATATCTCTGCGGGTGAAACAAGCTTCATCAGGAAAGATAATTTTCTTTTGAAAATTAATGCCTTGATGTAAAATGAACTGGCAGAAATTCACTCGTTTAACCAAATCATTTTGTAACAATTCTTACACTATTTGGATATGATATGGGTGGATATGAGATTACGTCTGATCCGATATTCTTCAACACTTCTTCTGTAGTTTCCTTCACAGAAACCTAACACTAATAGTAATAGGTTTCTGTCTGTGTTAGGCATGTCAACTTGTTCGCCAAATGAAAACTTCCCGTCCATTTTCAAAACACTCTCTAAAATTAAATGATTTTTTTCCTGATCGTCAAGTTTGACGTTTAAATTCATAGGTAGTCACCTTTTGAATTGAATTTTCGATGATTTTAAATAACAGCTACAATACGTATTATTAGTTATTCGTATTTTGTTAAAAACGACAGGTTTCTGAAAACAAACAAGAGTAAGAAAAATTTTAGAATAAAATTCCCCATAAAATATAGTAATAATTTTTTAAGTCGGCCAACGGGTTACAAAATTCTTCTTGTCTCAAAATATCATGTTCGTTACAAAATGAATTTAAACCACTTTTCGCCCTTATCCATTTCATCCACAGTCAATTCACCTCTGCACCTTTCTTCGGTATGTTTGGGGTTATGACAAAACCTGTATATCCTGGCTATCATTCTTATAGTCCTGGTGTAGAAATGATAAAGATGACATTCATCAGCCAGTGAACACAAAAGGGTGGTGGCTAGTTTTATCTTTTTCTCCAGATTAATCTCCAGCTCGTCGCAAACCAATTCGTCAGTTGGCCAACTATGCGAACTTTCATACAACCATTCTGGGCCCTGCCACCATTTTGATTCCAATAAGTATTTAGGCGAGCAGCCTCGTGAAGGTAAATCGGCGGAATCAGGTCTCCATGATTTTGGATGAGTTAACGCCCGAATCTCTGCTATTCTGTTCAAAACGAATGTAGCCCATTCCTCTTTCCTTTGAATCCATACCACAACAGATGAAGAGTCGCTTCAAAAATTGGATTCGATTTCGCCACTCAAATTCTTTACAGTTTTGGCAAATAATCTGGCACCAATTTTTGCAGCCAGCAACTCCAGACGAGATATGGTTAATTTATGAAGCGGGGCAACTTTAGCCTTTGCCACCAATAAATGGATAGACACATGACCTCCGGTTACAATTCTGAGGAAGATAGCACATGTAAGAGCATTTTTACTTGCATTGCACCTGATCAGTTTCCCCTCCGATCCAACGTGGGATCTCAATTTTGAAAAGATATGGCAGGCCGCTAATCCACTGTCGAAAAGCTTGCTCCGTCTCAGCATCAACTGAATCGTCCCAACGCAAATTCGTCGCCCAAAGACATTGCAACCATAACTTGGGCATTAGAGTAGCAGGACTCGTGAACCCAATGGGGTCAAACAATTGTTGAGCCATTGAAAGAATTAACCGCTTCATTACAGCTATGCCTTCCAAATCCAACTCTCCTGTTAACCAAGTATCATTGACCATTAAAGTGCCTCTTGTTAAACACCATTTCAAACCGAGTACAGGAACAAACGCTTCTTTCCGTGTTCTTTTCGAAAGTGCTCTCACCCGCCGTGTTCAAATTTAGTCTGTTTCATTATTATTCTTTTTGAATGAACTACCTCAAGTTGGCCTCATCCGGAATACTGGTGATGCATTTATCTACATAACAATTTTTCGACAATTTAACGACAGAGTCTACTGCATAGGGGGTATCAGTTTTCGTAGACATTTCCAGATAACAGTCAAGATAATATTCAATAGTTTTCTCAACAAGAATAAACTACAGTTAACTCCAAACACTCGTCTGTGTCGATGTCTTTTCTTTTCCGTCTGGCCCTATCCATAAAAATCTGAGAAAATCTCTATCGCTGGGATGGATACCGATTTGAAGAAAGGCTTTCTCAATATCTGAAGTGACACCTATTTGATTTTCCCTGAATTTCAACAGTATCGAAGGATCGAGCGACACACGTGTACGTCGAACTGCTGTTTATTGTAGTTTAATTGTGATTTGAAGAAATATCCTGAAATTATAAAAGGAGCTAATGTGGCGGCATATCTGATACTAATCAAAAATGCACTGTGAGTAGTCTAAAAATTATTACTGATTGTAACTAATATTATAAATACATCTGTGCAAATCTAATGTAATAGACATATAAATATTTGCCTATTTCCACTATCATCAGAAAGTGATTTCTTATGTTTAATTGTGTTTTGTGCCTGGATTCTTTTTTGCTTGTGTCCAATTATTTTTAATGACGACCATACACTACAAATAATTTGAATTATTTGCTGTATAAAATTGGAAGTACGTGTCTTATTACACTTAAATAAGTAATTGTAATTAAACATTTATGAGCATGAGTGAGAAAAAAAATGTGTCAAACGATGACATTTATAAAGCTCTCATGAACCTTACTGCTCAAAACGTGGAAATCAGAGAAGAAATTAGATCTCTTAAAAGTGATTTAGAAAAGAAAACTGTTGAGATAAATAAGAACTATGAAAAACTAATAGAAGAGAACAGAGAACTTAAATTTAAGCTTAGAATCAGTGAAAGAAGAGCTAAAAGGAATAGTATTATTATTTATGGTTGTCAGGAAGATAAGAATGAGAATACTTTGAATAATGTATTAAGCCTTATAAACGAGAAGTTACGTGTACAGATAGTAATACAAGAAATAAACAATGTTTATAGAATAGGGACCAAGGTAAATAGTAAAATTAGACCAATCCGGTTAGAATTGATCTCATATTTGAAAAAATCAGAAATAATTTCCCAAAGTTATAAACTAAAAGGTGGCAATATCTACATTAAGGATGATTTGACACCAGAAGATATTGAAGAGAGAAAACTTCTTACGAAACACTTAGTACATGCAAGAAATAAGAATATACCTGCTAAAATACGCAACTACAAGCTTATTATTAACGGAGAAGAGTATACATATCAAGATCTGAAAAAAATTCAACTTGGCGAGAATGAGGATGACGAAATAGATATTAGCAAGCTCTCCCCTCCTCCTTATAGACGTAATTTAAGTGCCCCATCAACACCAACTATCGCTATAAAAGAGGCTATATTTGCAGAATTAGCAGATAACCCAACAAACGAGGACAAAATTAAGCAATAAAAGGATTGTCAAGTAATGCGAAATGTACGCCTCCTATTTCAGGTGGACCTCGTAACACAAAAAAGTCATCTGGAGATAACGTCCGCTCTTCTGAAAGGATCGCCACCTCTATTAATAAGAAGTCTTAGTTTTATATTATTTAATGTGCTTTTATCGCTTTGCATACTGTTTTGTTCATATTATATTAAAAAAAATCCTCTGTTTCTCTTCTGTCTCTGTATTCCGTGGTCTACCTTGTGTGTGTTACTTGTCGTGATTGACCCCTCGACCAAGAAGAGTATCCCCGTCGAGTCCTTCTTCCTTATATTACTATTGTAGAATTAATATGAATCCATATTTACGAGACTTTAAAATAAAAACTGTTGAAACTTATGAATTGGACTCTGTTCTTGAATTAGACAAGGTCCTATCTGTAAATAAAAAATATTTAAATCTTACAGTTTGTCAACAGAATATTAGAAGTATTAACAAAAATCTAAATGAGTTTAAAATTACTATGCAACAAATGAAGACGGATATAGACTGCATTATACTTACTGAAACATGGCAAATTGAAAATACAGATGTTTATAAAATGCAGGGTTACGACATTATTTATAATCATGGAAAGTTTAACAAGGCAGATGGAGTGATGATATATATCAAAAGTAGCATCAAATATTGTTTCAATATACGGAAAA